AACACGTGGTGTATTTTATTTCGTTATTTTTACATAGAGTAGTAGAAGTTAGTAGGTATAACTAAAAAGAACACAAAAAGATAAACAAAACACAATTTGAAATCTACTTCATAAAGTTTGTAATTTTTGTTTGTACATTTGTGCTGCAAAAATAGATTTTATTTATGTAGTTTTCAAGATCACAAAATGCCTTCCAGATATGATTAGGAACTTGGCGTGAATGTGGAAAATTTCGAGTTTCTGACACTTTTTTGTCATTTCAGAAATGGTTGGAACATCATTATGGTCTACAGTAGAATGAGTTTCACCTGAATCGTCATCTTCTTCATTATCTTAGCTTAAAGCTGTAGATGAAGTTACGGAGTCTATAATTTGCTCATCGGTCAACATTTCTCTTGTAAGAATGCCATTATCACTGCTCACATATTCGAAGAAATTGAAATAACTCAATTTGGTTTTAACTTGTTCTTCGACAAAATTGTGCACATCTTCATCTGAGTCATACTCGTAGTCAGAGTCTATGCTTTTCTAACCATTCGTTAAGTGGAATTTCATCGTCGGGTTCATAATCATTTTCTTTTCTTACAAATACACCGTGCTTAAAGCAATTTGAAATGGTTTTTCGGCTAACTTTTTGCCAAGCTCTATGAATGAAATCGACTGCATCTAAGAGATTGATAGAAAATGAAAATTTTCCCATTTGGTAGGCATATTGGTTGTGGTGTAGAGGACTTCTAGTAAGAACCTCTTCCCTGATGTGTCTGTCGATTAGCTTTTCTAGTGTTTTGAGTAAGAAGGATGTTAGGCTGATCGGGCGAAAGGATTTGGCCTGGGCATACGTCGCCCGCCCTGCTTTTGGAATGAATACTACTTTTGCCATTCTCCATTCCATTGGTATATATGCCAGAGCCAAGCTGACCCGGAGGATCTTGCACAAGAGGGGCACCAGTAAATCGGTTCCCTGTTGTAGCAGAACTGGCATTAGGCCATCTGTTCCCGGTGATTTAAATGGTCTGAAGGAACTCATGGCCCACTTAACTTTGGACTGGGTTACGATGCTTGAGGCAAGAATCCAGTGCTCTTTCAGTGCACGCTGTCGCGTCCTGTAGATCACCGGTATCACCTGTTCTCTGCCTGTTCCCAATATTGATCCAGGAAAGTGAGTCGTAAGTATAAGCTCCAGAGACTCCTCTTCTGTTGTTGTATATCCTCCCTGTGGTTTTATCAGGGAGCCCACTTTTTGCTGTGGTTCTTTTGAAAGTGCTTTATAGAGTCTGGCGTAGCTCGGCATATCTTTGATATCCTTGCATTCCTTCCTCCATGAAGCCCTTTTTTCTTTTTTGATGGCGTTGCCATATGTAGTAGGATGTTTTGTATTTACCCCAGAAGGCCCCGTTTCGTTTCGCCCTGTTAAATAGCTTCCTCACCGTTTTCCTCATCGTTGAGAGTCCCGGGTTCCACCATTTGGATGTCCCCGTTTGTCTCTTTGACTTCAGAGGGCATGCGGATTCGTAGGCTGATTTTATTGCTGATGTGATAGTAGTCGGCCATCAGTTCTAACTCCTGCGCAGTATGTGCCTCAGTTGAGCAGTCCCCCAGCTGCAACCTAAGGTTCTCTTTGTAAAAGGCCCAATCAGTTGTTTTCGGATTTCTATACACCGAGAGGGGAACCTCTTCCGACTCGATGTAGAATCGTATGTTTCTATGATCGGACAAACTGGGTGTATCCGACACATGACAATCTCTTATCAGTTCGCTGGTGCGGTCTGAGCAGATTGTAATGTCTATGACCTCCCTTCGTACCGTTGTTATAAAGGTTGGTTCATTTCCCTGATTGCAGACTTCAAGTGATGAGGTCGTGAGGTATTCTAAAAGAGACTCGCCCCGTCTATTGGTGTCACTGCTGCCCCACAAAATGTGGTGCGCGTTTGCGTCACACCCAATGACAGTTCTGGTCTTAGACGCCTTACAGTG